AACAGGGCCTCAGAATGATGGAGGCTGTGTCTGCAGCCAGACCCTAGGCCGGCTGACCAGCCCCTCCAACACAAACACTGGCCCTGGCTCCTCGGGAAGGGGGCATTTTTCAGAGATGACATCAGCTTTGCTTTGCTTTGCGTTTCCCTTTTCTTTTCTTTACTTTTTTTTTTGAGACGGAGTCTCGCTCTGTCGCCCAGGCTGGAGTGCAGTGGCACGATCTCAGCTCATTGCAGCCTCCGCCTCCAGGGTTCACGCCATTCTCCTGCCTCAGCCTCCCGAGTAGCTGGGACTACAGGCATCCGCTACGATACCTGGCTAATTTTTTGTATTTTTAGTAGAGACAGGGTTTCACCGTGTTAGCCAGGATGGTCTCGAACTCCAGATCTCAAGGTGATCCTGCCAGCTCCCAAGTGCCCTGGGATTCACAGCGTGAGACACCACACCAAGCCTTGCACCCTTTATCCAATTTGTCATTCTTGTGTCTTTCTTTTAATTGGCATTTAGCCCATTTTACATTTAGAGTTAATATCTGGTTATGTACTGAAAATTGATCCTTCATGCAATGATGCTATCTGATTATTTTGCCACACTCAGTCTGATGCAGTTGCTTCTTCATAGTGTCATTGTCTTTATATTTTGGTGTGCGTTTTTGCAGTGACTGGTACCAATTTCACTTTCCATAGTTTACGCGCCCTCCTTCAAGAGCTTCTTTCAAGGCAGGCTGGGTGCAATGGAAGTTCCCCTCAGCATTTGACTTGGTCTAGAAAGGATTTTTGTTTCTTCTTCACTTATGAAGGCTTAGTTTGGCTGGATCTGAAATTCTGGCTGAAAAAATATTTTCTTTTAGAATGCTGAATATTTGCTCCCAACTCTCTTCTGACTTGCAGAACTTCTCTGCCTATGAGTCTACTGCTAGTCTCATGGCCTTCCTTTGCAGGTAACCTTGCCTTTCTCCTCTGGCGGCCATTCGACTTTTTTTCCTTCATTTCACTCTTGGAGAATCTGATAATTACTGTGTCGTTCTGGGTGAATCTTCTCATGTCAGTATCTTAGGTGGTTGTTTCCTGGTATTCTCCCGAATTCGAATGTGGCATGTCTTGCAGGTTGGGAACGTTCCCGGATCTATCCTGAAGCATATTTCCCACTCGTTTTTTTCATCAACTTTCAGGTACTACAGTCAATTGTACGGTGCCTGTTTTACATAAGTCCTATATTTCTCGAACATTTTCATTCATTCCTTTTCTTTATCTTTCCTAACTGTCTACCACCTTATTTCAACAGTCTTTCCCACTGATATCCTTTCTCTGCTGGTTGATTACGTACTGTCTTAGTCAGGCCGATCCAGCAAAGTCACCACACGTCTTCTGGCCCTTGTTTCCTTTCATAACTCATCATTAATACAAGGTTGACATAATTATAGGACACACAACATGACCTTTTTATACTTCGGTGAGTTATTTCACCCTGTACACTTGTTAAAAGCAGCCTTAGTCGTACATCTTCTTGCTACAATATACCCTTAGACCCACGCTTTTCGATGAACACCAATCACGGTCAAAACCCATACGTATCACATACCAACATCACACACACACAGTTTAAACACAACCAACCACACAGTGAGCTTCGAGATTGAGGCAGAACATGAGACACACACGTCTATCATATATATCCAGTGTATTTTCATTCGAATCTTTCTCAATCTTCAAAAGTTTGGACTAAAAACACAGAGACAACGACCCCCAGACCCATAGTTAGCAAACAAACATATCATATATATGTGTTGGCGCGGATTTTGTTTGTTGGGTGTCCACTACTGCTCAACACAAAAAAAGTGCGGATGTTGTTGCCTTTCGGCGTATGTTTTATCCCTAAGAGCACACAACACAAACACACAGAGCAGATCCCAACACACAAGAGTAGCGCCACACACACACATGGTACAGCAAAGAAAGAGGACAGAGCGAAACACACACTCTGACATCCACACAAACACCATCACATCAGGCATCACACAAACAAGAAACACACCATATACAAAAAACACACAGACATACACAAGCCGGGCGCGAGTACACACAGACAGTCAACAGAGCGAAACACAAAACTAGAAGAGAGAGAAGAGGCAGAGAGAAGAGAACACAGACAACAAAAAACACGAACCTAGAGCTGCCTCTCCCTCCACACATGCCGACACAAGTAACTCATCTACATTGCCTTTCTCGAGAGGCGAAGAAGCGCTTTACCTCCCTTGCTGTCCTTCCACCTGTTCCAATGCCTTCCCCACTGTGTGCTTCCACAACGCCTGGCAAATGTCTCTGCATCTTTCAAGTGTCATGTCCCTTCAAAGCCAGCCCCACACCCCGAGCCTCTCAGCGTTCCATCCCTCCATCCATTACAGCCCTGGCCACCCTGCACAACATCCAGAACCTCCCCCTTCCCCTCCATGCTCGCCTCCTGTCCTCATGAGACTCCTAGCTCCAGAGGGCATAGGCCAAGTCCTACTTTACTCTGGCCAGGGCCTCTTGGGGACTCAGGAAATGTTTCTTGAGGAAAGGCTAGAGGGCAGACAGGTAGGAAATCTGGTGGGGGAAATATCCTTATTGACACACCCCCATCCAATCACTACATTTTTGATAAGGGACCCAGCCCTGGCATCTACTTTGAGAATCACTCCTGCCCCCATGAAAGCGCCTGGGGAACGTCAGAATTTGGGAATAAATATCTTAGTGCCTTCACCACAGGCATCACCAGGGAAAGCCCAAGGGACCTGGCCTCGTCCACCAGCTGGGCACCCCAGGAAAGAAGCCTCCCCCGCAGCAAACCCACCCCACCACCCCCAGCCTCCCTCAGCAAACCTCCGCACAGTTGCTAGGTAGCGAGGCCTGAAGGAGCTCTCCAGTTTCCTCAACCTCAAACGGGTCCAGTAATAGCACCACCCTCAGAGCAGGGCCACCGCGAGGCCGGGGTCAGTCCAGATGGGGCCAGCTTTTGTCCACACAGCAGTACAAGCCTGCCCTTGCTGGAGCCCGGAACCTTCCGCCCCACCGCAGCCGAAGCTGCGTCTATCACCTTATCCCAGGGGTTGATGAATTAATACATGAAAACCTCCGGACCTTAGGAAGCACCCAATCAACGTTCGCCATGGTTAGGTTCATTATTGTATTATTTCGATTTTACTCACATTATTGAGCGTCCACTAGGTGGCAGCACTAGAGGACTGGATGCTGATGAACCAGGCAGGCACACTCCTGCCTCCCAGGAGCCTACAACGGGGCAGGAGACAGACACATAAACAGCTGATGTGGAAGCGCAGGGTGGGAGGGGTAAACGCAGGCTGTAGGAAAACCCAGGGACAGCCTGGGCAACATAGTAAGACCCCATCTCTACAAAAAATTAGCCATGCATGGTGGTGGATGCCTATAGCCCCAGCTACTTGGGGTGCTGAGGTGGATCACTTGAGCCCAGGAGGTCAAGGCTGCAGTGAGCTGTGATCATGCCACTGTTTAAAAGAAAGAGAAGGAAGGAAGGAAGGAAGGAAGGAAGAAGAAGGAGGAAAGGAAGGAATGAAGGAAGGAAGGAAAGGAAGGAAGGAAGGGAAGCAGAGGAAGGAAGGAAGCGAAGGAAGAAGGAAGAAGAAGAAAGAAGAAAAGAAAAGAAGAAAAAAGAAAGAAAGAAAGAAAGAAAGAAAGAAAGAAAGAAAGAAAGAAAGAAAGAAAGAAAGAAAGAAAGAAAGACCCTGTTTAAAAAAAAGAAAGAAAGAAAAAAAAAAAAGACAAAATCCAAAGAACCTAGCCTGGCCTGAGGGTGCATGAATCCAGAAAGGCTTCCTGGAGGAGGTGCTACCCATTGAAGACCCAAAGGAAGAGTACAAAGAAATTAACCAACAACAAAGCAGTAAGGCCTAGTTGAGAGAGCTGTGGTGAGGGCTCAGCTGAAGGCAGGGAGGTTGGAAATTGAGCTATGTGAAGGAGGCCTTTCTGATGGGGAGGGCACTGCAGGGAAGGGAGCCACAGCAGATGGGGGCAGGAGGTGCTGAGACTACAGGGCAGGCCGTTCTAGCAGGTGATGTTGGTTGAATGAATGAGTGAGGAAAGGAATGAATGAGGGATACAAATAGAGAAGGCCAAGGTGGAAAAACCAACTGTATCTTTTACGGTGGGTTTTTTTTTTTGGCAGCTGGGACAAGTAGACAGAGACACATGGCAACATATGCTGGTCCTGCACCACCCCCAGCTCAGGACTCGAAGGACTGCAGTGTGCTGAAGGTGACTTGTCAGGCCCATAAGGGGTAAGGAGGAGCAGGTCTCCTCCCCTCCTTGGCTGCCCCTCTGTCCCGGGATGGGGGTGCTGATTGATAGCTCCCCTGCCCCCCCATGCCCGCCCCTGGCCCAGCGCCAAGCTCCCCAGCTGCTGACTCAGGCCCTGCTGGCCAGCTCAGCATTCCTGCCCGGCCCCCACTGAATGGAGCTATTGAAAGTCTCTGTAGCCACAGACCACACCCCCAACCAGAGCCTTCGGCTGGGCTGTGGCTCCTCTCTCAGGGGACAGCATAGGCCCTACGGGTCAGTTGGAGAGGGCTCTGGCTGCCAGCGACTGCTCTGGGGGTGTCTGGGACCAAGGACGATCCTGGGTAAGCTGGCTGGGCTGGCACCAAAGAGTAGATTCCAGTGGGAGGGGTCTCCCTGGTGCGCAGGACAGAGGCGCTGGGATGGGCGACCTGGGCTTGGGGGAGGGGTCTGCCTGTCGATGGGAGAGCCAAAGGGCCCTGTGGGCTTTCCCACCTGCCCCCTAAGACTGGAGCTTCCCTAAGGTAGAGGTGGTTCCCCCTTAGATAGAGGCCACTCAGGGGTATGGGCTGGGTCTCCCCCGTCAGACAGGAGCCAAGGTAGGGAGAAGGGATGGTTTGGAGTCTTGCCCATCAGTCTCGGAGCTCCCCAGGCACAGGAACAGCATCAGGCATCCAGCCTCAGCCTCTGCTGCTGGGTCGGGATCAAGTGCCCTCCTTTCCCTTCCTCTCTCCACTTGGCCTTTGCCCTAAGCCAAGACCTGGCCACCAGGCTGGCTGCAAGGGCCTGCAGAGCCAGCTGCACTTTTTCAGGTATGGGGGAGGGCCAGGTACCATGAAGCCAGTGCGGGTCACCACCCTTCTGTGGATGCTACTGCTGGTGCTCGGGCTCGGGGCCACCCGGAAGGGGTCCCCAGAAGAGGCCTCCTTCTACTATGGAACCTTCCCTCTTGGTACGGCCACGCCTCTGTTCGTCTGTCTGCCTGTCTGTTGTCCACCTGTCTTGACTTGCCAAGGAGTTTGGTATTCTTGCTTCCTGATTGGCAGGATGAGAAACCTACCTTTGCATGGTTGTTCTAAAAGTTCCTAACAGGTTTTTTTTTTTTTTTTGAAGTTACTAAAAATTACACAGATAATACATGCTAATTAGAGCTAAAATTGTGCAAAAAATGTTTTTAATATATCTTCCCCTACTCTGCCTCACACGCTCACCCTCCTAGGAAGATAAGGCCCCAGTGGGACAGGGGCAGCGTGGTAGGGAGGGGCAGTCCCTGAGGCCTGGGAGGCACAGCCCGGAGCCCTGGCTCTGGGTGACACATGGGAGCACCTGGGACCCAGCACGGGTCTCCCCCTGCAGGCTTCTCCTGGGGAGTGGGCAGTTCTGCCTACCAGACGGAGGGCGCCTGGGACCAGGACGGGAAAGGGCCCAGCATATGGGACGTCTTCACACACAGTGGGAAGGGGAAGGTGCTTGGGAATGAGACAGCAGATGTAGCCTGTGATGGCTACTACAAGGTCCAGGTGAGTGCGGGGTGTGTGTGTGTGCGTGCACAGGTGTGAGCACATGCCTAGCTGGGAGGCAGGGAGTGACATATTGGGGGAGCCCTGGTGACAACGTCATTCCCATGCTCTGCCAAACACCCTGTACCCCAGTGCAGCCAGAGGGGACAGGGCCAGTGGGGGTGAAGGTTTGGGAGGGGCCAGGATGTGAGGTGGATGTAGAAGGAAAGGAAAGCGGGGCCTCACCTGAGCCAGTGCCTCAGGCCAAGTGACGGGGGCTGAAGGACTGATCCCACAGCTTCAGGGCCTACAGCCACAGTGGCCTGAACCCCTGGTCCCTGCTTGTGAGTTGCACCGTGTGGAGGGAGTGGGACCCGCTCATCCTCAGCACCCACTTTCCTCTCTGGATGGCTTCTTGAGGAACTCATCACCCAGGTATACTAGGGGCATCCTGATGGACTTTTCCAAGTGCCTCCCTGTCCTGTGTTTTCTTTGACTCTTGGCATATCCCCTGCCTGAAGTGGCCAGGTGGCATCACCTCTGTTGTACAGGTGAGGAAGCAGGTTCTTCCTTGCCCACTAACAGCCACAGACAAGAGTGAGCCTTGGCCCTAGAGCCCGATGGACCCCTACCTCCCATGCCCAGGGCCCAGGTGACCTGCTTCCCCACCCCTGTCTGCACAGGAGGATATCATTCTGCTGAGGGAACTGCACGTCAACCACTACCGATTCTCCCTGTCTTGGCCCCGGCTCCTGCCCACAGGCGTCCGAGGTGAGCCAGGGAAACCCCTCCCGAGCCCAGGTGCTGCCCCTTCCGGCCATGTTGGCTTTGCAGGGGCACCACAGAGTCCTGGGGAGGGAGACCAGCCCATGAACGTGGTTGCTGATAGTAGCAGCTCTCACAGGTTCTGCAGGTAACTGGGCTCCCAGAATGCTGGTGGGCTGAGGGTACCTCAGGCCTTCAAAAAGCAACAGGGCCCAGGAATGCTGCACTCCAGAAGGCCAAGGCCAAGGCCAAGGTCCTTTCTCGTAGCATCTTCTTTTATTTCACCTGCAGCCGAGCAGGTGAACAAGAAGGGAATCCAATTCTACAGTGATCTTATCGATGCCCTTCTGAGCAGCAACATCACCCCCATCGTGACCTTGCACCACTGGGATCTGCCGCAGGTGAGGACCCGAGCAGGCTCCCAGGCCCAAGCGGTGCTCAGCTCAGCAGGAGGGAGCCCAGTTTGAGGACTCGGGTTGCCCAGGTGGGGCAGAGACTAGGGTCTGGATTCTGGTGCACGACTGTAAGATGTGAGTGAGTGAAAAAATCTCTCTGACTCACTGTCTTAGTCCACTTTTGCTGTTATAACGGAACGCCTGAGACTGGGTAACTTGTAAAGAACAGGAATATATGTTCCCACAGTTCTGGAGGCTGGGAAATCCAAGATTAAGACACTGGCAGGTACAGATTCTGGCCCAGTCTCTGCTTCCAGGATGGTGCCTTGAATGCTGTGTCCCTTTTTTTATAAGGGCACCTAATCCCATTCAAGAGAGAAGAGCCCTCATGACTCAATCACCTGCCAAAGGCTACACTTCCCCATGCTGTTACACAGGGGATACAGTTTCAACATGAATTCCAGGGGACAGAAACATTCAAACCAAAGCACTCATGCATGGCAGGGAGGTCATACTGCTTTAATTGATGTGTGTAGTGAGTGAAAAGAGTGAATCCTTTTGTTTTCTAAAAAACTTGGCATACAAACAAATTTTTAAAACTATAAAGATATGTCTTTTAACTAAGATCTGGCAGCCAGGTGCAGTGGTTCACGCCTGTAATCCCAGCACTTTGTGGGGCCGAGGTGGGTGGATCACCTGAAGTCAGGAGCTCGAGACCAGCCTGGCCAGTCTTTACGAAAAATACAAAAATTAGCCAGGCGTGGTGGCGGGTGCCTATAATCCCAGCTACTTGAGAGGCTGAGACAGGAGAATTGCTTGAACCAGGAGACAGAGATTGCAGTGAGCTGAGATCGTGCCATTGTACTCCAGCCTGGGCAATGAGAGCGAAATTCCATCTATAAAAAAAAAAAAAGAGATCTGGCGACATAGCATAATGAACAAGTTTAGCCTTTTTTCTCCAATTTCTTTGAGCCGTATCACAGGCACTCATATATGACCCTGCCCCAGTAATGTCCATGAAATCATAACATGCTTCAGAACGTCACTATGTCACTGTGATTCAAGCAGTATTTTCTTTCTTTCTTTCTTTTTTTTTTTTGAGATGGAGTCCTGCTCCGTCGTCCAGGCTGGAGTGCAGTGGCGTGATCTCGGCTCACTACAGCCTCTGCCTCCTGGGTTCAAGTGATTCTCCTGTCTCAGCCTCCCGAGTAGCTGGGATTACAGGCATGTGCCACCATGCCTGGCTAATTTTTGTATTTTTAGTAAAGACAGGGTTTCACGATGTTGGCCAGGCTGGTCTCGAGCTCCTGTCTTCAGGTGATCCGCCTGCCTCAGCCTCCCAAAGTGTTAAGATTACAAGCGTGAGCCACTGCGCCTGGCCTCAGGCAATATTTTCATTCACTGGGGAGAAGGTGGTCCCATCGGTGCCCTGGAAGGTTTGGGCAGGAGGTGGGAGGAAGGGGTGTTCTGATTGGAGGGTGCATTGCAAAGAGGGGGAAGCTGGGCAAGCAGTTTGGTTCAGTTAGAATTTGGGGAGCAGATAGGAGAGGGAAGGGTTAGAGGCTGGAGAAGTGGCTTGGGGAAGACCTCAAAAGCCTCAAGTACCGAGCTAAGATGACTGGGAACTGGGTTTATTCTGTGGGAATGGGAGCTACCAGAGTCCTCTAACTGGGGAAGAGGGCAGAGCAGGCTGTAGGGAGATGAACCTTCCAGTTTCTTCCCTGATTGCTTTCACGAACCTGCCCCAGTAACATCCCTCGAACCCGCCAAGGAGAGCTGGACAGGTAGTCTCGATAGAGTGACAAGTCTTGGGAGAATTCTGCCATCATGGGCAGATGCCTTTGGTTGGGAAAGCCCTCGGCCAAAAAAGGCAGATCCTGCCCCAAGGCTTCTAGGAGCTTTCTGACATCTGCGTGGCCCTCAAAATCCTCATCAGAGTGTTCATCCCAGCATCAGATCTCATTTCTCCAGAACTTAGATCTAAGATGCTTCCCCATTATTAGGCCCCTTTCCCCTGGCAATTTTTCTTAAATATTCAATCTGTCCAGTTCTTTCTAAGCATGAGAGTCCCAGTCTCCCTGCGCGGCCTCCCTCCTGTTTGTCTGAGGACTGTCGCACAGCTTATCTCCACATCTAAACTGCTTTGCGGTTCATTCATGGGGCACCTGCTTCTCTGTGTTCACAGCTGCTCCAGGTCAAATACGGTGGGTGGCAGAATGTGAGCATGGCCAACTACTTCAGAGACTACGCCAACCTGTGCTTTGAGGCCTTTGGGGACCGCGTGAAGCACTGGATCACATTCAGTGATCCTCGGGTAAGCGAGGCCCCTCCAGGTGGCAGACTGTGGCACTCCCTGCCACTTCTTATGGATCCTGTGGTCCTGCTTGCTGTCCCTATAGGCAATGGCAGAAAAAGGCTATGAGACGGGCTACCATGCACCGGGCCTGAAGCTCCGAGGCACCGGCCTGTACAAGGCAGCACACCACATCATTAAGGTGAGGGGGGTCCTTCTGGTGGGAGAACAGCCTCAGGGTCAGCTCAGCCTTCCCCAGGGGCTCTAGCCTGAGCTTGGTCCTCTGCCACTCCACCTCCGAGTCAGCATACTCCATAGCACCTTCCTTTCTGTGACGATTTATGGAGGGCGTGTCCTGCCATCCAGGGCGCTGGAGGACACGATGGCTGAGCTGTTATAGTGGCTCCCAAGAGCTTACAGCCTAGCCAAGGGGATGGAGCACATCCATGTGGAAATGCATCAACTACAGGTCTAAGCTGTGACAGGAGGAAGAAGGGATGTGACAGCGAGCCAGGGTTTAAAATCTTCCATGAATGAGCAGAAGTAACTGGGGTTGATCAAGGACAGCAGTAAGAGGAGTTAGAAGTGGTCATCAGAGCGTGGCTTCAAAGAACCTGGGAGTTTTGAAGGAGGAAGGAAAACTAGTTTGGAAGCAGCAATAATGAGCAGGCAGACTCCACCTTACTCCCAGCTCAGAGGGATGTGGAGTGTGATGGAAAAAATGCCCTCTGCTCAAAGGAGCTGCAGTGGAGGTGCTCTTAGGGCTGGCAGGCATCAGTCACAGCAAGACAGGAAAGGGGCCATTCCGAGAAGACGCTACAGAAGGAAGGGCTACTGGAAAGCCTTGTCACTGGAGAGGGAATTGGGTCACATTACAGGACATGTATGAGGATATGGATGATGATAACTGGAGAACAGGGATACAAGGCATGTGGGATTGGCCCCAAAGGACTCTTAGCAGAAGGTGGACAATCTGTCTAAGCTGGAAGGCAAGGAACCACTGGGTGACATTCCAGACCCCCAAACTCATATCAGGGAGAACATTTTCTCATTTTTTCTACATTTGGCTTATGATTTCTTAAACTGAATATTTAAAGGGCAGAGCTCTCAAGATATTTTTATTTTTATATTTTTTTAGACTGAGTTTTGCTCTGTCATCCAGGATGCAGTGAAGTGGCATGATCTTGGCTCACTGCAACCTCCGCCTCCTGGGTTCAAGCGATTCTCTTGCCTCATTCTCCCAAGTAGATGGAACCACAGGCGTGTGCCACCACACCTGGCTAATTTTTGTATTTTTGATAGAGATAGGGTTTCACCATGTTGGCCAGGCTGGTCCTGAACTCCTGACGTCAGGTGATTCCCCCACCTCGGCATCCCAAAGTGCTGAGATTAGAGACATGCGCCATAGTGCCCGGCCTCAAGATATTTTTAATATTAAACATAAAAGTCATTTTCGGGGCCTTTTTATCTATCAAAAGTAGTGAGCTGAAGAGATGTCATTATTTATTTATTTAGAGACAGATTCTTGCTCTGTCGCCTAGGCTGGAGTGCAGTGGCACGATCTCGGCTCACTACAACCTCTGCCTCCTGGGTTCATGCCATTCTCCTGCCTCAGCCTCCTGAGTAGCTGGGATTACAGGCATACACCACCACACCCGGCTAATTTTTTTGTATTTTTAGTAGAGACAGGGTTTCACCATGTTGGCCAGGCTGGTCTTGAACTCCTGACCTCGTGATCTACCCGGCTCACCCTCCCAAAGTGCTGGGATTGCAGGCATGAGCCACCGCACCCGGCCTGAAGAGATGTGATTCTGTTATTGTTTTGACATGTTCCACTTCATCAGACAATACCATGATTCACTTGGTTATTGCCGGAAGTATAAGGAACGAAGTCTGATAAATAAAGGTTCTCCGTGAGTAACAAACAAAACAACCCCAAATTCTATAGCCTTCAGATATTCAGGTCTTCTAAATTGGTACTTCTCAAACTTTAACAAGCATCATAATCATTTAATAAATGATTACTGAGCCAGGTGTGGTGGCACATGGCTGTTGTCCCAGCTATTTGAGAGGCTTGAGCAGGAGGGAGGATCGCTTGAGCAGGAGGATCACTTGAGCCTAGGAGTTTCATTCCAGCATTGACAACAAGCAAGACTCCATCTCAAGAAAAAAAAAAAAAGTTTATTAAAGCACAGACTGCTGGCCAGGCACAGTGGCTCACACCTGCAATTCCAGCACTTTGGGAGGCTGAGGCAGGCAGATCGCTTGAGGTCTGGAGTTCGAGATCAGCCTGGCCAACATGGAGAAACCCCATCTCTACTAAAAATACAAAAATTAGCCAGGTGTGGTGGTGCGCACCTGTAGTCCCACCTACTCAGGAAGCTGAGGCAGGAGAATGGCTTGAACCTGGAAGGCGGAGGTTGCAGTGAGCCGAGATCGTGCCACTGCACTCCAGCCTGGGCCACAGAGCGAGACTCCATCTCAAGATAAAAACAAAACAAAACAAAACAAAAAACACCAAACACAGATTCCTGGGCCCCACTTTGAGTTTCTGATTCAGTAGGTCTGGCAAGGGCCAACGGATTTGCATTTCTATTAAGTTCCCAGTGGATCCTGATGATCTCGGTCTGGAGACCACACACTGAGAATCACTGTTCTAGATGACTTTCCATCTCTCTTAGGTGTTGAACTACCCAAGTGCGGTGGCTAGCTGAAATAGCCTCAGGCAGGCCAGTGGGTCACTGGTAGAATATGAAGAGAAGGCAGGTTGGTGTATTTTAGATTCCATTTTTCAAGACTATTTCAGACACTTGGTTTTTTCCTAACTTACTGAGCTCTTCTGGGAAAAGTACTGCCTAGTTGCTACTGAGGACTAAGAGGAACAAAACAGGAAACTTTAGCAAAAATCTTAAAAACGATAAATAACACAAAGTTGTTTGAGCCAGACTTACATCAAGTTTCATTTACAGTATAAAGAAAATAAGTGCCTCATGAAGTTAGAGGAAGGAAGACTGGATTGGGATAAACAAGGCTGGATGGATGAAAATGATAGGTCTAAAGTTAGGAAGGAAAGAAAGGCCACCCAGATTGAAATGGATGGGCCAGGCACCTACGATGCATTTCTGCTCCCCTTTCAGGCTCACGCCCAAGCCTGGCATTCTTATAACACCACGTGGCGCAGCAAGCAGCAAGGTGAGCTGTGGCCCCACACATGTACCCAGGACAGCCAAGTGCCCGGAGCAGCAATGGCACGCCCACTCTCCACTCCCTTTTATTTCTTTTCTTTTAAGGTCTGGTGGGAATTTCACTGAACTGTGACTGGGGGGAACCTGTGGACATTAGTAACCTCAAGGACATAGAGGCTGCTGAGAGATACCTACAGTTCTGTCTGGGCTGGTTTGCCAACCCCATTTATGCCGGTGACTACCCCCAAGTCATGAAGGACTACATTGGTGAGCCCAGCCTCATTTTAAACTGCAGATACTACGGCAAGTTATTGAGCCCATGTGAAACAAGCAAAAGGCAGGGGGTTGAAGAGCTCATCGGGCCTGGGTGAGGTACTCAAGGGATAATCCAGACTCGAAAGAATTGAGAACCACACATTTGAGTTAGCAGGGAGGAACCCTAGACCTCTCAATTTCCCTAGACCTGGAAATTGAGAATTTTCAGAACTCAGGGAAGAACGTGGTGGTTCTTTGGGCTGGTCTCTCTTATGTTCTGCTGCCCTGCCCCTTCCTACACCCCACTTTAACTGCAGTCAAGCAGGAGAGAGCTCAGATGCAGTCATGGGCTTGTGTCACTTCTATTGTCGGTTCTTTCTGTCAATGGAGAAATACTTTCCAAGCTCCAGTTTCCACAGTGTTGGAGGAGAGAATAAATACAGGTAAGGCTTACAGGGATATATCAATTTGGATGTTTTTAACTGCCACATAACAGAAAATTCTACCTAAAATGACTTGAAGTAGGGAATTTATCATCTCACCTGAGCCCAGAGAAGGGTGATGCAGGGCTAGGTAATCTAGCCTTCAAGGGTGCCCTTGAGGACCCAGGCTTATTCCATCTTTCCACTCTGGCACCTTCAGTTAGCCCATCAACCAATCCCCATGACCACAAGATGACTGCAGCAACCCCAGGTATCACATCTTTACATGTCAACACCCAAAGACAGAAAAAGGGAATTGCTCTGTCATAATATGTTTTGGGGTGGGCTTTCTTGGCCATTTCCCCCCCAATTTTTTTTATGGTGGCAAAATACACATAAAATGTACCTGTGTTGCCATTTTTAAGTGTACAGTTCAGTGGTAAAAAATACACTCATAATGTACGAACATCAACACCATCCATCTCCAGAATGCTTCATCTTGCAAAACTGAAACTTTGCCACTGAGTCCCTGGCAACCACCATTCCACTGTCTCTGATTTTGACTAAGTAGCTCATATAAGTGGAAGCATACGATATTTGACTTTGTGTGACAGGCTTATTTTACTTAGCATAATGTCCTCAAGATTCATCCATTTTGTAATGTCAGAATTTCCTTCCTTTTAAAGGCTGAATAATATTCCATTGTCAGCTGGGCATGGTGGCTTACGCCTGTAATCCCAGCACTTTGGGAGGCTGAGGCGGGCGGATTACCTGAGGTCGGGAGTTTGAGACCAACCTGACCAACATGGCGAAACCCTGTCTCTACTAAAAGTGCAAAAGTTAGTTGGGCATGGTGGTGGGTGACTGTAATTCCAACTACTTGGGAGGCTGAGGTAGGAGAATCACTTGAACCTGGGAGGTGGAGGGTGCAGTGAGCCCAGATAGTGCCACTGCACTCCAGCCTGGGTGACAGAGTGAGACTTTATCTTGGGGAAAAAAAAAAAATTTCCATTGTCTGTATGTATCATATTATGCTTATTCATTCATCCATCAATAGACACTTCGGTTGCTTCCATGTTTTAGCTATTGTGAATAATGCTAAATACACAGGTATACAAATATCTCAAGATCCAGCTTTCAGTTATTTGGGGTATATACCCAGAAGTGGAATTGCTGGATCACATGAAAAATTCCTTTTTAAATTTTTTTTAAGGAAGTGTCGTACTGTTTTCCACAGTGGGTGTACCATTTTACATTCCCAGCAACAATACACAAGGGTCCCAATTACTCCACATCCTTGCCAACGCTTGTTATTTTGCTTAATAATGGCCATCCCAGTGGGTGTGAGGTTGTATCTCATTGCACTTTTGATTTGTGTTTCCCTAATGATTAGTAAGAGCATCTTTTCATGTGCTTATTGGCCATCTGTAGATCTTCTTTAGAAAAAATGCCAATTCAAGTTATTTGCCCATTTTTGAATTGGGTTGGTTTGTTGTTGAGTTTTGGGAATTCTCTACATATTCTGGAGTCTAATCTTTTATCAGATATATGATATGCAAATATTTCCTCCCATTCTATGTGGGTTTTTTATTCTGTTGCTAGTGTCTTGATTCCCAAATTTTAAAACATTTCGTGAAGTCCAATTTGTCTATTTATGTTTGTTTCTTTTGCCTATTTTTGTTGCCTGTGCTTTTGGTGTCAGAATCAAGATATAACTGCCTAATTAAATGTCATGGTGCTTTTGCTCTTTTCTTTTTCTTTCTTTCTTTTCTTTTTTTTGAGACAGAGTCTCGTTCTGTTGCCCAGGCTGGAGTGCAATGGTGTGATCTCAGCTCACTGCAACCTCTGCCTCCCAGGTTCAAGTGATTCTCCTGACTCAGCCTCCCAAGTACCTGGGGTTACAGGCACCTGTCATCATGCTCAGCTCATTTTTGCATTTTTTCTAGAGATGAGGTTTCACCATGTTGGCCAGGCTGGCCTTGAACTCCTGACCTCAGGTGAATCTCCCACCTCAGCCTCCCTAGTGGGTCACGCCAGTAATTTTTTTTTTTTTTGAGACAGGGTCTCTCGCCCTGTCACCCAGGCTGGAGAGCAGTGGGGCGATCATGGCTCACTGCAGCCTCAACCTCCCTGGGCTCCAGTGATCCTCCCACTTCAGCCTCCCAAGTAGCTGGGACCACAGGCACACACCACCATGCCCAGCTAATTTTTTGTGTATTTTGTAGAGACGGGGTTTGACTATGTAGTCCAAACTGGTCTCAAACCTCTAGGCTCAAGCTATCTGCCCACCTTGGCCTCCCAAAGTGCTGGGATTACAGGCGTGGGCCACCACACCAGGCCATGTTTTCTTCTAAGCAGTTTTATTTGTTTTGAAACTGAGTCTCACTCTGTTGTCCAGGCTGGAGTGCAGTGGCATGATCTCGGCTCACTGCAACCTCTGCCTCCCCGGTTCAGGCAATTCTCCTGCCTGAGCCTCCCAAATAGCTGGGACTACAGGCGCCCGCCACCAGGGCCTAATTTTTGTATTTTTAGTATAGACAGGGTTTCACCATATTGGCCAGGGTAGTCTCGAACTCTTGACCTTGTGATCCGCCTCCGCCCGCCTCAGCCTCCCAAAGTGCTGGGATTACAGGCGTGAGCCACTGTTGGATGCCTTCTATTTATTTTTCTTGCATAATTACTCTGGCTAGAACTCTCATTACTATGTTGAATAGAAGTGGTGAATGCAGGTATCCTTTTCTTGTTCCATTTTTTTTTTTTTTTAATTTTTTTTGAGAGAGAGTCTCACTCTGTTGCCCAGGCTGGAGTGCGGTGGTGCAATCTTGGCTCACTGCAAGCTCCGCCTCCCAGATTCAAGCAATTCTTGCGCCTTGGCCACCTGAGTAGCTGGGATCACAGGCACACACCACCATGTCCAGCTAATTGTTTGTATTTTTAGTAGAGACGGGGTTTCACCATCTTGGCCAGGCTGGTCTCGAACTCCTGGCTTCAAGTGATCTGCCCACCTTGGCCTCCCAAAGTACAGGGATTACAGGCATGAACCACCGCGCCTGGCCATTCCTCTTAGCTATTTTTAGGAACAAGAAAAATCTTCCCAGGAAGCAGCTTCTGTCCCTTTGTGCCTCAAGGGACAGAACTGTCACATGGTTACGTCAGGTGATGCCCTAGACCATCATAACTAGGGCCCCAGAGGCTGGGGAGGAAGGGGGCATGGAAGACAGGCATTGGACTGACTGCTGGGTGTAGGTAACCGGCAGTGTCTGACCACAGAAATTTAAACATATTATCTCTGATTTAAAGGTATCAGCTGGCACTCACCCTAAAAAAAAGGAGACAAAAATAACACTGGAATTGGGTTACGGTTTCACACAACAAAGCTATTTTAGGTGTTTGATTAAGAGAGAACTGTCAACATTTGAAAAATGCCGCTTTCTATAAAACGCATTTATCAAACATACTTATCTGAAGAGGAGGTAGCAAGTTCTAATACCAACTCCGCCACTAACTTGTGAGTGACTGTGGGCAAGGTGCTTCACCTCTTTGGTTCTTAATCTTATCTGAAAATGAAGGCATTAGATACAATCTTTAAAAATCTTTTGGTGTCAATCAGTTCTATGACACATCTATACACATACACTCAAAATCTTGAGAATAGTTTCCTCAATATGCATAAGGAAAAAGCCTTCATGAAGGGACTGACAGGGCCCATGTCCCTGTAGACACAACTTATCATTCACACAGTGCATTCACTCTCTTGGGGCCCTCAGAGGCCATTGCAGGTGCCACAGAAAGGCTGCATTACAAAGCCAAATAGATTATTTGTGAGAGAGCACATTTTGGGCGTAACGCCGATAATCCCAGCCCCTCTCAACTCCAATTCTGTGATGATACAAGTGGGAAACAGGCTGAACTTTTCCTTTACACAATGTAGAAAGAAGGATCCTCTAAGCAGTTGAAGTTTTATTTAGTACTGAAAGCATTCTGCCTGAAACCTTGTTCACAAATTACTTCCAGGCCTCTCAGAAGTACTCTTTGACTCACAGTAAATATATAAACAAAAGTATTTCCAGATCAGTGCTGTTCAATAGAACTTCCCACAATGACGGAAATGTTCTATACATGTGCTGTCCAATACAATAGCTTCTAGCCACCAGCGTCTATCAGAATTCTAAAAATTAAAATTAAAAATTCAATCCTTCAGTCACTATATTTTAATAGCCATATGCAGCAAGTGGCTATTGTATTAGTGCAAGGACAATGACGACAGCTGGTGGTTTTTCTTAAGTCACTAAATGTAACTGAAATAATGTGCCAATATTTTATTTGCTTTATGCTAATATCTTAAGGGTATTTAATAACACAAACTTTGTATTCATTTTATCTAAACTATTATCCTCTTTGGAACTATTCTTAAGGTTATATTTCAGATCAATTCATGGAAAATGTTGTTTTCTTGATTTATATATTAAAAGCCATTTTTGCATAGATCACACCTGGACATGTTTCATATTTTTTAAAGTACAAAAAGTATGAACTAAAAAGTCAGGCCTCTCTCCTTCTCTCCCCAGAAGCAAGTATACTTCCAGAGATGGGTTGTATATGTGGTCAGTGTATGTGCTTAGGATTATACACAACAGCCGGGCGCGGTGGCTCAAGCCTGTAATCCCAGCACTTTGGGAGGCCGAGACGGGTGGATCACGAGGTCAGGAGATCAAGACCATCCTGGCTAATACGGTGAAACCCCGTCTCTACTAAAAATACAAAAAAACTAGCCGGGCGAGGTGGCGGGCGCCTGTAGTCCCAGCTACTCGGGAGGCTGAGGCAGGAGAATGGCGTAAGCCCGGGAGGCGGAGCTTGCAGTGAGCTGAGATCCGGCCACTGCACTCCAGCCTGGGCGACAGAGCGAGACTCTGTCTCAAAAAAAAAAAAAAAAAAGGATTATACACAACATTCTGAAGCTTTTTTTCACAGAAACCTATATCCTGGCAAGCTTTCCACATTGCTATAGAAAGTGCCGCCTCATTTGTTCTAACGGCTGCGTAGTGTTGTACCATGGATATTTCATCATTTACGTAACCAGTCCCTACTGACAGACATTTAGGTTGTTTCCAATCTTTTGCTGCTCAGTCTCTAATGAAGATGCTTGTACAAACATCCCTTTATATGTGAGTAAAGTGTAAATAGATTTGGAACTGGTCAGTGAAAGGACATATGCTTTTACAACTTTGAAAGATAGGACATACCATCACTGGCCTTCCAGTTCCCTTCCCAAAGGCAGCTAAAATTACACATTTCTAGTTTTTATTTTTTGAGATGGAGTTTTGCTCATTGCCCAGGCTGGAGTGCAATGGCGTGATCTCGGCTCACTGCGACCTCCGCCTCCAGCGTTCAAGCGATTCTCCTGCCTTAGCCTCCCGAGTAGCTGGGATTACAGATGCTTGCCACCACGCCCCGCTAATTTTTTTTTTTTTTTTTTTTAAGATAGTCTGGCTCTGTTGCCCAGGCTGGAGTGCAGTGGTGTGATCTTGGCTCACTGCAACCTCTACCTCCCAGGTTCAAGCAACTCTCCTGCCTCAACCTCCCAAGTAGCTGGGATTACAGGTGTGCGCCACCACGCCGGGCTAATTTTTGTATTTTTAGTAGAGACGGGGTTTCACCATGTTGGTCAGGCTGGTCTCGAACTCCTGACCTTGTGATCTGCCCCTCTCGGCCTCCCAAAGTGCTGGGATTACAGGCGTGGGCCACTGCTTCTGGCCAATTTTTTGTATTTTTAGTAGCAACAGGGTTTCACCATGTTGGCCAGGCTGGTCTCGAACTCCTGACCTCAAGTGATCCACCCGCCTCGGCCTCCCAAAATGTTGGGATTACAGGCGTGAGCCACCACACCTGGCCAAATTACCCATTTTTAATGTAAGGAACAATACAGAAGCCCAACTCTACTTTTTTTCCAGATGGCTACATACCACTTATTATCTGTGAAAATACTACTTTTAAGCAATATAAACTTATAAATATTTTGGACAGTATTGAAATTTCAAAACTTCCACTTTGGATGGCTAAGGCTATACTTCCCACGCAGATGAATCCTAAAGCCCACCTTTTATGTCAAGATGTCACTATCGTCATGATACGTAACACAGCGATTGGGAGAAAATAAGCCTTTGTTAAATTCTGCTTTTTTCTCTCAAAAGGAAGAAAGAGTGCAGAGCAAGGCCTGGAGATGTCAAGGTTACCAGTGTTCTCACTCCAGGAGAAGAGCTACATTAAAGGCACATCTGATTTCTTGGGATTAGGTCATTTTACTACTCGGTACATCATGGAAAGGAAGAACCCTTCCCGCCAGGGGCCCAGCTACCAGAATGATCGTGACTTGATAGAGCTGGTTGACCCAAACTGGCCAGATCTGGGGTCTAAATGGCTATATTCTGTGCCATGGGGATTTAGGAGGCTCCTCAACTTTGCTCAGGTGATTATCACATTAAGCTATTCAAAGGACATTTAGACTTGAATTCATGTTCTCACAGCTTAAGCTCAGGTGCCTACATTAGAAAGTTAATAAAACAAAATAAACCTAGTGAGTCATACTTCAGAGTATGTATGTAGTATACTACATTCAGGCTACTAAATGTAGGCCTTACAGACTCATGTCTACCATGCACAACCATTTGCATGTATATAACTTTAGCTAAAATTCGTATCCCATATTTATTTTGCTGTCCTTCTTGCCTAAACTGGAATATGCGGCAAAGAACAAGACCAAAGTACATGTCCCCTCCAACAACACTTTTTTTTTTTTTTTTTGAGACAGAGTCTCACTTTGTCACCCAGGTTGGAGTGCAGTGGCACGATCTTGGCTCACTGCCCCCTCTGCCTCCCACATTCAAGTGATTCTCCCGCCTTGGCTTCTCAAGTAGCTCGGATTACAGGCGCATGCCACCACATCTGGCTAATTTTTGTATTTTTAGTACAGACAGGTTTTCACCATGTTGGCCAGGCTGGTCTTGAACTCCTGACCTCAGGTGATCTGCCCACCTCAGCCTCCCAAAGTGCTGGGATTACAGGCGAGAGCCACCACACCTGGTAACAATGCTCATTTATTGAGAAATACATCCTTTATATGAACTTGTCTCCTGCCTACAATAATCTCTAAATAAGCATGTTATCTGACATCTACTAAATGCCAAAAACACACTTGATTAGAACGTGGCAGGCTTGAATATGTGTTCCTATATGAGCCTCTGACTCAGAAACCTACCTGTAGGTCAGAATTTTTAAGAATTTTTGTTGCTATGACTCACTTTCAGACTCAATATGGCGATCCTCCCATATATGTGATGGAAAATGGAGCATCTCAAAAATTCCACTGTACTCAATTATGTGATGAGTGGAGAATTCAGTACCTTAAAGGATACATAAATGAAATGCTAAAAGGTGAGACACAAACCAAGATTGTCTGCAGTTTTCCCATTTAACTGAGACAAAATGTGACTAACACACAATCAACTGAAACTTGTTTCTACATCTCATAAATGAAAACATTTTTAACATTATCTTCACAGTTTTATTTTTCTAAGTAAATGAAATATATTTAAAATGGAATAAAATGTCTTTGCAGCTATAAAAGATGGTGCTAATATAAAGGGGTATACTTCCTGGTCTCTGTTGGATAAGTTTGAATGGGAGAAAGGATACTCAGATAGATATGGATTCTACTATGTTGAATTTAACGACAGAAATAAGCCTCGCTATCCAAAGGCTTCAGTTCAATATTACAAGAAGATTATCATTGCCAATGGGTTTCCCAATCCAAGAGAGGTAGGCCTAATTATCAATGTTATCTGTTCTGAACTTTAGAAGAGCTAGGTAGCTGGAACACACACAGAGCTTGGCAAGTACCTCTCCTCTTTCCTCCATGAAAGACGACAGGGGCATGCAGCATGGCCCTTTATTTCACTTTTGCTCATTTGCTTAGAATGGAGCAAGCTTGACATAAGCTTCAATCTAAGGGCACTACCAGAGGTTACGAAGGAGTTCCATTTGCTTTAAGTTATGACAGGGCAAAAACAATAGAGACATCTAGTTAAATATTATTCTAAATCTTGTGTCTTTTTTTCTTTTTATTTTTTTTTGAGACAGACTCTTACTCTGTTACCAGGCTGGAGATCTCAGCCCACTACAACCTCCGCCTCTTGGGTTCAAGCGATTTTCCTGCCTAGCCTCCCGAGTAGCTGCGACCACAGGCGCACGCCACCACACCCAGATAATTTTTGTATTTTTAGTAGAGATGGGGTTTCACTATGTTGGTGAGGATGGCCTCTATCTCTTGACCTTGTGATCTGTCCACCTCGGCCTCCCAAAGTCCTGGGATTACAGGCGTGAGCCACCGCGCCTGGCCTAAATCTAGTGTCTTAATGCAAACAAATACTACCTATTTTTCAACATATATAAAAAACAGTTAAGTAAATTTAATGTATAATTATCATATCATTTTCATCTATTTTCCAGCCATGCAGCAGAGCCATACACACATACTGGCTTCAAAATGAGATCTAAAGTAATCAAACTTAATAATCCTTTAGAATCTACCAAACATTTTCAATAACCTGAAAACTTTTCTTGCAGCTCCCTATTCTCTATGTTGCTGCACCTATTGGCAGGGAATATAAACTATAATTTCGAGTGTCTTGGCCAGATACGGTGGCTCACACCTGTAACCCCAGCGCCTTGGGAGGCTGGAGTGGGAGGACTGCTTGAGGCCAAGTGGTCAAGACCGGCCTGGGCAACATAGCAAGATCCCATTTCTACAAAAAATTTAAAAATCAGCTGGATGTGGTGACGCGCCTGTAGTCCCAGCTACCTGGGAGACTGAGGTGTGAGGATCACTTGAGCCCAAGAGTTTGAGGCTGCAGTGAGCTATGAGTGCTCCACCGCACTCCAGCCTAGGCAACAGAGCAAGACTCTGTTTCTAAAAAATGAAATAAAATAGTGTCTTAATAAAAATAATTTTAAAAAGTAAATTTCACTTGTTTACCGAAACTATTTTAAGGTGAGCCCAGTAGGACTATTAAATGTAAGCAGTGACTAAAAACCATAAGGCATTTGCTACTTTTACATTATTAGAAAAGCACTAGATTGTACACTCAAGCATAAAGACTGTTCTCTGACTCCCTCACTATGATGTACATGGATGTACAGTAAATATAAACTAATTTAAACTACAAGATGATTTAGAAACATAAACTACAGGTAGATTTTTAAAAATACTTACTTTTACCCCACATTTATTTCAAAATGATTTGAAACAGCAAAAAATTAGTCTAAGACAACATTACTTATCAAGTGGGTTTTTATTAGGTGGAAAGTTGGTACCTCAAAGCTTTGGAAACTTGCTCTATCAACAATCAGAGGCTTGCTGCAGGTGAGTCAGTATGTTTTAATGTTTTCCTTTAATAATTAAACTAAATAATTATACGTATCATTATCAAAATCTCAAAATCTGGCTCTACTTGAAGTCAATCTTCCAAAACTGCTTGTGATTAAAATCAAGTTTCTTTGAAGCAATGTCAAATTTCTATTTATAAGCATTTTAAAGCATTTAATCTACCATGAAAGATAAACATTTTATCCATTTTATCCATTCAAGTTTTATCCTTTCAGAATCATACCATAAGACCGGGCGTGGTGGCTCATGCCTATAATCCTAGTGCTTTGGGAGGCTGAGGCAGGTGGATCACCTGAGGTCAGGAGTTTGAGACCATCCTGGCCAACATGATGAAACCCCGTCTCTACTAAAAATACAAAAATTAGTCAGGCATGGCGGCGCATGCCTGTAATCCTAACTACTCAGGAACCTGAGGCAGGAGAATCGCTTGAACCCGGGAGGCGGAGGCTGCAGTGAGCTGAGATCACGCCACTGCACTCTAGTCTGGGTGATAAAGCGAGACTCCGTCTCAAAAAAAAAAAAAAAAAAAAAAAAAGCAGAATCATACTACAAATTTATACACCTACTATTTTTGTTATAGTGGGCTTGGGCAAGGAGAGGAAAAGCCAACCACTATACCAACCGGGATGAAGGAAAAAAAGAACACTTGAGATCTTATATTTGTTCATTCGGCAAGCAATTATTAAGCACTCACTATTTGCCAGGGAATGTTTTTTTTTTTTTGAGACGGAGTCTCGCTCTGTAGCCCAGGCTGGAGTGCAGTGGCCAGATCTCAGTTCACTGCAAGCTCCGCCTCCCGGGTCCACGCCATTCTCCTGCCTCAGCCTCCCGAGTAGCTGGGACTACAGGCGCCCGCCACCTCGCCCGGCTAGAATTAGAGAACGGGTTTCTCCACTGTTGGGCCAGGCTGGTCTCGAACTCCTGACCTCAGATGATCCGCCCCCTCAGCCCTCCCAAAGTGCTGGGTTACAGGCATGAGCCACCCGCGCCGCTATACAACGCAAAATCTTAATATTAAAACTTTAGGAGGGGTGAGATTACAAGTGATTTTTTTTATTCTGCTTATTTTTATTTTCTAATTCTTAAATCCCAGCACAAGCCAAAAAGAGAAAGAGAAAAAAAGGTAATTATTGTAGAAC